AGTTGTCAAAGAAGACCATACTTCTCTTTTGGTAGTATGCCAATAGGACGAGGAATCACTAGGAAGTTATACAAAATGATTTAAGGATGAAGACTGGTGGTATATCTAAGCTCGTTTTCCCTTATCAATGAATATATTGGTAGCCTTCAAACATCAAAGTTTATCTATTCAATTATCACTTGAGCTCCAACTACATTCCTAGAGTCATTGTTAGAAACAAATTGGCATATTATGGTCGAATATATTATTATTGAGAAAAGAAGCTCAGATAACAAAAAGACGATAAAGGAAGAAAGAACCACATGATCGAAGACACTAGATCAGTCATGAAATGAAAGACCGAGGGGAGATCGAGTACCCCTTGTTGGGAGTTCACCCTACTAAATACCTCACACACTGAGGTATTCATATAGATAAGGGAGAAGGGACTCCTCCATGTATCTCATCCTTTGCGTCCCCCACCTACTCAAAGAAATCAATTGAAGTTTTGTTAGTTCTACTACGACCATAGGCACAACATGAAGGATCACTATGATATAATATAATAAATCAAAGAGCTCATTCAAAAGGTGCATCTATGCTATTGTCTCCACGTGGTTCAAGGAACATCCCCAAGACCTTAAGGACCCATCGAGCAAGGTTGACGTAATAGTTGGGGGGCCAGTATCAAGAGGAACCAATGCATCTGCCCTTAAGACCTATGCAAGGGAACCTCAAGTGAAGAGATTCCATCCCTTGGGTGACCCTCCCATTGTATTCAGGGAGAAGGTAGAACACATCGATCCCGTTCACCATGATATATTTGTCATTTCTCTCGTGATCATTAATGCATTAGTAAAAAGGATCCTGATAGATATTAGAAGTTTTGCTAACATCTTATTGGATGCCTAGTGGTTGATGTCCCATTTGCATTAGTAAAAACCATGTTCTTGTTGGTTGATGTCTCATCTGCATACATTGCAATCATCGGACACTCAACCCTCAATCATCTCAATGTATTGCATGACCTTGAAGTTCCCAACTAGTTATAGGGTTGAGGAGCTCAGAAGTGACCCATGAGAGTCCCACTAATGCTATATGATATTGATTACAATCTTAAAGAAGACATCCTCTTCATTCAGTAGTTGGACCGAAGGGTGCTAATGCCTTAGGTTGCTTATTCAAAAGCCAAAAAACCCCTAGTTGAGATCCCATTGGATTCGTCCAAGCCTGGTTGGACAGTCAAGATTGGCTTGTCCCTATCCAAAGAAAAAGACAGAACTCATCAACTTTTTTGCATCACAACTTTGAGGTTTTTGTATGAATGCCTAATGACATGCTTGAGATCGATGGAGTCATGGTTCAAAGCAACATATCAAAGGATGGTCAGCAAGATATTTCAATCCCAGAAAGGGAGGAACATGGAGGTGTAAATAGATGGTATATTGGTCAAAAGTTGAACATCTAACACCCACTTAACCGGCCTTTATGAAATATTTGCCACTCTCAACAAATTTTGAATGTGGCTTAATCCCTCCAATTATGCCTTAAGCATCAACTAAGCAAATTCTTCGATTTTATAGAGTATCAAATTGTCATTGACATCAACTCTGAGAAAGTATAGACTATTCTCAACATGAAGCCTCCGACTTCTTCTATAAAGGAGGTGCAACAACTAACGAGCTAAGTCACCACATTAATCCAATTCCTCTTAAAAATGATTGATTGATATCTACTATTTTTCAAGACTTCGAAGTGGCTGAAGGATTTCTAATGGATTGAATAGTGTCAGGTAGCATTCGAGCAACTTAAGGAATATTTGATGGTGCCACCTCAACTATTGAGTCCCAACCTAAGAGAGGAGTTGTACCTATACTTATTGGTAACTCCAATAGCCATAAGCTTTGTCTTAGTCTGAGAGCAAGATAAGATCTAAAGGCTAGTGTTCTATACCAGCCATGATACAAAGACACAATATTCGAGCTTTAAGAAGCTCACTTATACCCTAATCGTGGCGGCGAGAAAACTCAAGCCATACTTTCAATCTTATCATATCATTGTAATGATAGATCAACTGATGCAACAAATCCTCTCGAAGCCTTATGCTACTAGTTGACTCTTAAAATGGTCTGCAGAGCTCAACGAGTTTGACATATCATATCAATTGTGGATTGCCATAAAAGCTTAGGCTTTGACCAACTTCATCGTTGAGATGACAATGATGGACGAGCCACTAGTTGACACTTAGCCTTGGGTTTTGCATGTCGATGGTTTGACTATTGCTATAGACGAAGGTGCAGTACTCATCCTTCTATGCTCGGATAGAGAGATATCTGAACACTTACTTCAATTTGGATTTAAAGTAACCAATAATGAAGTTGAGTATGAAGCTTTATTACCAAGACTCTGTATTAACAAAAATATATAGGTAAATAAGATAAGGGTGTATAACCACTTATAACTGTTGGTCAATCATGTCAATGGAACCTATGAAGCCTGACATTATGTGATGGCTAGCTATCTTATAAAGGCCAAACAGATTATTGTTGATATCTCCTTCTTCAATAGTGAGCAAATTCTTTGAAATGAAAATGTCACTATTGATTTGTTATCAAAGTTGGCTATAGGAAAGCAATTGACTATAAAAAAAAGTAATGGTAGAAACTTCGAAATAGAGGAGCATAAGCGAGGATGAGGTTTCTTCCACCTCCTTCAAAGTCTACTTAGATGGGGGACATCCTATGCTATCTTAAGATAGGGGTTCTACCTACCAACCCCAATCAGGAAAGTCCAAAAGCATTAAATATGATTATATATAATCCACAGTAATTTTACTAATGATTCTTCACCTAGTCGCTCCTCCACTATCTTTATTTAGGAGACCTTGTCTACGTCCTTTTTGAAATCTACGAAGGAATATATGGAGAACACATTGGAGCATGCTCATTATCATTTAAAATTCGTAGGAAAGGCTATTATTAGCTAACACTTTGACACAATACACTTGAATATGTGTAGCACTATAACTGATGCCAAAGCAACACCTAAATCCAAAGGCTCCCTATAGCCAAACTGACCCCTATGGACTTTGGCTTAGCTATTTGCTCGGGGGGTTTAGATATCCTTGGTCCTTTTCCCCTAACTATAAGTCAAACGAAGTTCTTGATTATAAGAGTTGACTATTTCATCAAGTTGTCATGGACAAGTCTATACATAATGTGTTTAATATAATGCTTCGAACTGCTCTAAAAGCATGAGAAGAACGAATGAGGCAACATGCCATGCTACATGGCAACATGTCATTGCATTAATTACACGGTCTAAGCAACCCTTGCATAATAACATTACCACCTATGGATTTGGTTGATATGCTACGTAGCAACATGCTATTACACAAGGCTGAAAAGATACTCATGGCAATCTTCTAAATCTTCAATGGTCCAAGGAATCTCCATATAGATGTATAGAGGATCATCATATCAACGTTGCAATAAGTCATCATTCCAAAAATCTCGGAGATAGAATTTTGCTATATTTGACCAGTAGTTGAAATGACATGTCCATTAGAGAATGGGTGAAAATGGCACACATGTGCGGATGTGACTAATATCTCAGAACCTAAAGCGATGTCTTCTCAACAGTTAAATGACCGAATGCATATACCGATAATACATAACCGAATGACCAAATGCACATATTAGTGGTATATAATCAAACGACCAAATGTGCAAAATGAGCATATCAACACTGTGCAACTGAATGGATAAATATGTATATCAACATGCAACCAAATGGTCTAATATATATAGTGGTGATGAATAATCGAATGGCCAAATACTTGGTGATGTGGATATCAATGACATATAGCCAAATGGCTGAATGTGCATATCAACGATCTATAGCTAAATGACTGAATGTGCATATCAAGGATGTGCAACATAGGTTGAATGCATGATGCACAACCGAATAATCGAAGAATGCACTAATTGACGATGCGTAGCCAAACGATCGAATGCGTATCATCGACATGCAATTGAATGGTCAAACTTGCATATCAATGACCCATAGTTGAACGGGCAAAAACATGCATCAAACGATGCACAACTACAAACAATTACCATCCACCCCCCTTGCAATATCTACAGTCTTGGCCAAAGTCGCTTCTCGGCTTGATAGCGATTGCATGAGCCAAGAAGCAAGGGGGCTAGTAATACGTGGCTAATAACTTAGTCGACACATTAGGGCCATATAGATGTCACGTGGCTAACATGTCGATCATTCGAGGTGATGAATGGAATATATGCTTGACATCTCATGGTTGGCAATGCGACTCCAAGAAGATAACACATGGCTGACAACTGACCACCTGAAACTACATCGACGGCACATATCTGACACCACATGTTCCCAAGCAACTCGCCATGAGTGCTGATGATCTTGGGACTCTCGGTTCTCATAGCCTTTTATAAAAGGACTCCCTAAGTAAGTTCCTCACACATTAAAAGATTTCCTCAAGAGCTTATCTAATTCATCCAAACAATTTAAATTCAGATACCTTGATTTAACTTTGCAGATACCTCTAGGTTAGCAAGACAATGACTTGAGACTGACACAGGGAAAACCTTCGTCTCCAAAATTCATTCCAGCTCAGGCAACAAAAAAATGCACAAACATGAAGGAATGTGATAGCAAGTTTAGAAAGGAATAAAGAAACAATTAATCTGCAAAGGCTATTACAAACAACAACTCAATTCTTTTTCAAGGAATCCAAGATAATTCAAATCTAAATTAGCAATAATACATGTATCTACTTATTACTGATCAATTTAAATCTTCGCTCATTTTCAAAACTAGTTGAACTCTTGATTTTTTTTTTTTTAAGATCCAGCGAACACACAGTTCTCTTCCAAGTGCATAGCACTTTTACATGCATTTCTTGGAATAATTTCAACAGCATGCATATCACTTTCTAGCAGACCAGAATGCTAGTATGGGTGGCAGGAGAAGTGGGAACAAATATGGGAAAAGCAAAAACAGCTAACTAAAATACAATATGCAATTTGCAGAAATTAACATTCAAATGAGTTATATGTCTCCTTGGAGTGGAAACAAATTGGATTTCTAACGATTCTTGGATTACTTCCTATGTAGGATCGACTGTATACATGAGATGAACTCTAAATTTGATATTCCTCTACAAAAACAAGACAGAAAATATAAATACTTTCTCTCTCATATATCATCTTTTTACCAAGATAATTTGTTGTAGAGATGTTTGAATGATTGATCAGGATATTTAATTTCCTCTCACAATCTCTTCCCTGGTTTTGCAAACCTCCTTGCTACTCCAAAAATAACAGCCTTGGTAACCAAGCCATGGTCAAGGGTGCAGGCAAGAGCTACAGCACCACCAACCACAAGAAACTTGGGTATGTTGCAAGCCCAGTGCTTCTGCTTCTCCACTTCAACGACATCTGAGGATGAAACAGGATTATCTTCAAATGACCTCAGATGGTCAGCATCAAACTTGGTGGTGATTTGTGCCATGGAAGAACTCCGAGATACTGGCTCGTTGGATGTCCTAGCAATCTGGTAGGCTCGGAAACCGGGTTCGACCTTCTTGACGCAACCCCACATTCCCTGCCTGACACCTAGCTTTGCAATTTCCCATGGGATGCCCATATCCTCATGGTGAAAGAGTAACACCTCACAAGCAGTCATCTGGCCATCTCTCTTTGATGCAACTGACCCAACAAAGATCAGAAAACATGCATTTGTCATTCAAGAGGCTAATCAGCTGTGGAAGAAGAAAGAGAACATGGGATGAGGTTATGCACCTGGACGAATACACCAACTGGAGTAATACAAGTCAACACGCCTCGGTTTGTTGTGTCGTGGAACAGAGGAACATGGGACTCCCTGAAATTTTTGAAGGAAATATCGATAATTAATTCAACAGACTACAATGATTAAAAAATACAAAATGGGGTAATATGAATGAGAAATGTAACTTCATAATTGCCAACAGCAAACTAACATGAAAAATAGCATCATAACATGTTTGCATTAAAAAAATTATTATAGTTCTGATCTTAGCCCAATAGGTGAAAAAAAATACTAATACCGAAACTTTTTAACAAGTTTTAACCTTGTTAAGGACTAAGAGAAAATGCAACACCACAAGTTAGGAACAAATTGAAAAAGCAAAAAGTATTGATGCAGTCTGATGGATCAAAAGAAAACACATATATATCATATATAACAGACAACAGCTAGAATCTAGATGTAGATCAACTGGATTTATACCAGGACAAAATGTGTTGAATTGGACAAGACAACATCAGCTGTAGAATTATCATGCCCTGCTGCGTATCCAATTCAAATTGCACTTAATTATTCAAAAGTATAGCTATGCCTTTTGCAGAACCCTGGTCTGTAATAAAAATAGAAAGACCACTCAGCAACATGTTGTATGGCTTAACATCAATGCAACTTTTCTACAAGCACTGAGTTCTTAGACCAAGGGCAAGAAGAAAAGGAACCAAGGTATTTGCACCAACATTTTCTTCTGATTAGGTTGTTTACATTTCCAATGTTTACATTTCAAGTGGTTATCTACTTGAACATTATGTTTTTATGATAAATTAAGAGCATACCCTGCAACAGTTATTTCAAGTTTAGCCAAATGTATCTACTGATTCATATCTGTCAATTAGCTTGTGTGTGCCATCTGGCTGGTAGGGTGTTTTGAAGAGCTTAAATGCATTCATATAATTTTTTTTTTCTTTTTGAACATTGGATATGAGAAAAAAAAGAGCCTAAGGGAAAGACTTCTTTTCCTTTTTTCACTTGAACTTTTTGGTTTCCACCTTGACAATTTGCCTCTTCCAGTTATGCAACAGATTAAGTCCATAACATTTTTTTATGAAAGAAATCGAAAAGACTTATGCTATTAAAAGGAGCTTCAAAGAAGGTAAAGTGGATTTTCACCTTGTTTTCTTGCTCCTCTTCATAGCTTAAGGTTGTGTGCAGCTGTCAATTGCACTAGTGTTGTAATTGTTTTCTCAAATGATAGTGTTTCTTTGTTGTAATTAGGGGATGGGAACCCAAATGCCAGTATGAATATTAGGTTCAATGAGAATGTTTGGTGTGGCATACTCCACATTAAGAAGAACAAAATTCTCAGCGTTGAAGCCTTCTACATAATTTCTTCAAAATTCAATCTCTACGGTAAGTACTATAATATGGTGAACCTCTAAACAAGAATATATGCAGTAATTATATTTACTACAAACCTTTGTTACACAGTAGTAACTCCTATCTGATTGCCATATCCGACGACCAATGATATACTCCCTATCGCTGCAGAAAAAGGGAAACTGCATAGAGAAGGGATGTTAAGCGAGAATAGCAGATGGCAAATGCTCAGTTCCACTAAGAATATCCAAGAATTAGTTCGCACCTTTCGGACCCACTGAACTACCATTGCCCCTGTGGATGGACACTCCTCCAAGGTAGAATATTGAAGGAGCATGTCATCCCACCCATTCTTGATCCGGAATTCGTCGTCCCAAAAGAAGTCCCTCACCATTTCCGGCGTCGCATCCTCGAACACGGAACTGCTACGATACTGAGGAGGGCCGGTCTGCCAAATGTTTGCAAGATACATGGCACATGAGAACCCCAATATCGAGTAGGTGAAGAATCAAACTGTGGCATATACAATTAGGGATGCAAGTGTGGAGGCATGTCAGATGGTCTACCTGAGGATCTCTCTGCCAGGCCTGGTAGCTCATGTTCGGCAACGACTTCTCCATCATCTTGCGCCACGCCGGGCCACCATCGGTCATCTCTACGAGCTTGCACAGATGCTGCAGATCCTTTTCAGTCACCGCCGATTTCTCGCCATCCGGCTGTTGGGGGACTGAAGAGCCGCCGCTGCAGCTCAGCAGAGAAGCCATTGGCGGATCCAACGAGGGCCCGCCCAACCCATCTGATGGCGGCGAGGAAGCCACTACTGAATCGGCAGCTTTCTCGCCACCTGCAGCGATGCCGGTGGCCCATCTCGGCCGCCACGCCCACCCTAGCAAAAGCCCCACGAGGGCCGCAATCCAGAGCGGGGCGGCCAGGATCGCGAGCTCTGCCACCACGCCGCCCATCGTCGGCTTTCTCAACACCTCCGTTAGCGCATCCACAACCAACCCCATGAGTCGAACAAGGTATTATAGTGGCCAAAGATCTTGTTAACTCCGAGAAGGAAATCAGAAGCGGTATGGAGGAGAGGGGTTGGACAGGGTTGCGAGGAGTGGAGAAGAACGAGGAGCTGTTGGTAGGTGTCTAGTGGGGGAAGACGAAAACGATGATTTATACGGGTGAATGATTGGAAAAGTCATTTAAAGGAGCAAGCGGTCTCGTGCGGCACGTTTGTTGACTCGTGGGAAACGCGGTGGCCGGTGCGAGGAAATCTTGACCATGGAGGGTGACATCGCAACATGTAAACTCTAAGGTGGAACTCGTGCTTTTCTCCGTCCTAAAATTAAAATTAGGGTGTATATTTAATTTTTTAGTTCGACTTGGTTGGTTTTTGTTCAATATTTCGTTTACCGATTTGATCAAGTGTGTTCTTCCCTTGGTTTTTATGTAACCAGTTAATAATTAATAACTTTTTTTATGAATTTTGTCACGTATATCATTTTTAATATCACGTATATAATTAATAATTTTCTCCGTATATCATTTATGAATTTTATGTAACCAGTTAATAAAAAAAATGTAATATCATTTTTGTCACGTATCGATCTAAATATAATAAATTATTCAATTAAGAAAAGATAATTATTGATTAAGACTGGTGATATACCAAAGATTGATTGTTTCAAACCTCAAATTAAGGTTGATCGAACCTCGCTGTGGTAAATGTGGTGGCTTATTCTTCTTCATGAATTTGCCTCTGAAAACTCGCGCCATGTGAACCCCTTTTTTTCTCTATATTTTGAAGCAATCAAAGGCCGCACGCGATCGAAGAAGGTTTCTTTTGCGAGGCGATGATCACGAGAAAAAGGGTCTGCTAGGGTTTGGGATATTGGGGAGGCATGCTTCCATGGCCACTGATGACAACGGCCTCCTCACGGGCCGACGATGAGTCACTGCCCCTTCACTCCCCTGCAGGCCCCATGGGATATGGTCTCCCTCGCCGCGATGCTGTTGGTGTCTGTCCGGTGGTGCTCCATGCTACTAGGCATGTCACTGGCGTTGGGTTACAGCGTGGCTTCAAGGTTGTGTGCATTCCAATAGCAGCTAAAGCGAGCAGGACCGGCGGACAGCCGCTCCCTTCCTCTCTCCCCGCGATTGATCCGCCTGAGACCTCTCCTCTGTTGGCTGATTCTTCGGTTTTGTTGGCCGACGATGATCCTGATTTGTCGGTGGCCGAATTGCATGTTGTCACTCCCGATCTGGCAGCACCTTTGGCATCCGGATCATTCCCACCGGCTTCTGAGGCCTCCTACAAGGTTGTTAGTTCTGGCCTGACGCACAATGCTGTGACGATAGTTGTGGCGGCTTCGGCGCCGATCAATTTCGGGATATGGTCGGCCGGTGGTGTTTCCCTTTCCCCTCCGGCGGCTTTGTCTTCTCCTATGGGTGCGGTCGCGAAGGACCCACTGCCTCCGTTTTCCTCGATTGCTACGGCTCTTGCGAGGCTCCTCCCTTCTCCGGCCAGTGCTAGGTCTTCGCTTCCCCACGGTAACCTGCGGCAGCGATGGTGCTCCGGATGTGGATCTTGCACCACCGACGCTTGCGATTGACTCCCCGCCGACTGTGGTTCTCACATCGCTTGCGGAGGTCCTTGTTTCGTGGGGCAGAGGAGTCGCCCCCTTTTTAGCCGTTGATGGTGGCGTCGTCTCCTCGCCGTCGGGGATGGCTCTCCTTGCTACTTACGGCGGAGGCGTCGCAATCCCCCGTACCGACGGTGCTCCCTCGGGGGCTCCCTCGGTGGACCGCTGCTTCCTTCCTGTTGAGAAAAAATTTATTAAAGCATAATATTATTTTCCATACCAACTTATATCAAATGAAAATATCAACCAACACAACAAAGCAAATAATCAATCACACAGTGAGAACAAATTTTTTTAACGTGAAAAACTCAATGTGGAAAAATTAATTCACCTCAAACTTTCACTATTAATAGTAATGATAACAAGTTTACATTAGGTTTTCTCTAGAATAATTAGAGGATCATACAACACCATAGGATTATAGAGTTTACTTTCTCTTTCTATTTCTCTCTCCTCTTTTTTGCACGCCCAAATTATCCAAGTCCATATATGGACTGGACCCAACACTTCTCCTGTACCAATGAGAGAGCCCCATCTTCTTCCTTATACTATTGCAGCGGTAGCTACTGTGCATTGTACCCCATGTGGTCTAGCGAGTTCCACTCAAGAGCTTCCTTTTTAATTTAACCCTCGAAACCACAGAAGTATCTCCCCTTTATTTCATACAGCCCCCTCCTCGCAAGATGATGTTCTTCAAATCCAGGCTTCTGATGTGGATATCCTTGAGAGGGAAGACTATGAAAGGATCCTTAATTAGTTATTTTGTAGACTCTATTTGTCATTCCTGAGTGTTCAAAATCGAGCTCATTTCTTTTGGAAATCGTCTGGTTCCTTGGATGTCATCTTCATAAAAATTGAGTTTATCTTCCAATCCAACTTTGAGACTATGACCTTCATCGATTTTTTGTTATTCGTATCTTAATAAAAATATTTAATTTTTTTTAATATAGATGTTTAAATTTTTTAGTATTATTATCAGTCATATAAGAATATCCTTATTTCATATTTTGACTTAAGCTGATAGTAATGTAGTATTTTTTAAAGATGTTTAAATTCCCTCTCATTTTGATTCAGTTGCATGTGAGATTGGGCTTATCAAAGGATCTCTCTATTTATAGCTGATAGTAATGTAGTCATGACAACCTCTAACAAATATAACACTCTCACAAGTTTTTAAGTGGTTAATGAGTGTGAGGTGGAGGTGAAAAAAGATTGAACGTCTATATATTCAAACTTGATTTGTATTATATTATATTATCTTTATTTTTTTCATCTATATTATTTTTATTTTTATTAAAAAATTAAAACTCATGTGATAATCATGATAAACTCCATCGAACTTAAAATAATTATATATATAACGATAGAGATAATATGTCGTAGAACTCAGGGATATAATTATAAAAAAAAATTAAAAGACAATGAATTGATATATTAGTTGAAATTAAAATAGAAAATAATCTTTAAGTTGTGCAAATAATTTGACTAAAAAGTTCTCTTCATTCACACTTTAATTTTTAAATTTTCTGATTTAAATATTAGAAGGATCATTGTCGAAATGTGCTCCCAATAAAAGTTATACTGTAGGAGGAGATAGAAAAGCATTGGCATAGCCTAAAACGTCCTTGCCATCATCAACTTGTCTGTTTCCACTTTTGAAGATTCAACATAGAAGCGATTCTCACGTTGCATCATCAAGATTCGACTTTCAAACCAAGTCAGATCATCCTGGATAAGTTATGAACTTTTTGAGTTAACAAATTGGTACATCACACATTTATGATCTATTGATCTATGGATGTTTAAATGACTTGGCAGCCAAATTTAGCTGATCGAAAGGGGCACCGGAAAAGCCCACCGGTAGGATTTAGAAACAGTGTCCATATGAACTCAGAGACAATTTTCTACAATAAACTGCAAAGTTTTCTCATTCGACTCTTTCCACAATTTGGAATACATGTTTAATGACCAGGATTCGGCTGTTGAATTGAATCGATCAGAAGTCAACACGGGAAGAAGTCCAAGCTGCTGTGGTACACGCTTGAACTCCGACGTTTGAAAGAAATCTTCCAGGTTGACCGACTCCACGGCTTAGTTGACCAAAATTAACAGCGTTTTAGCGTGTGGTTCGAATTGAGACAGATCAAAACTGAGATTAAAAAAGGAGGAGAATTTATTCCGAGGGTGGAATGGTCAAAAAGGAGGAGGAAAGAAATGCTTCCACGTGCATAGTTTTTGGACGTCTAACAAAATAAAACAAGATAAAATAAAGATAATGCGTTTTTATTTTTTAATAAGGGTAAAGTTTTTGTTTTTTGCTTTTTTTTAAAGAAAAAATCTTTTATTTTACAAAATTTCGAGTTAGCGTTGTTCTCTTTGTCAAAAATTTTTATAAAAGAATCTTTAATTTTTGAGATGACAAAATAACCCAATCACTTTTTTTATCTTTTCTCCTTGCTTTTCAAACTGAATCAAACCACTCGACTGAACGGATAGAACTAACACAAAACTTATATTGACTTAAAATAAATTATGTTAAATAATTTATTAATATATCTTAATATATATTAATGAAAACAAAAAATATAAAATTATTTTAAATTATAATATATAATAAATAAATAAAATATAAAATAAAAATAATTTTATTTATTATAAAATAAAGAAGAAGAATAATAATAATAATAATAATAATAATAATAATAATAATAATATAATATAATAATAATAATAATAATAATATTTATATAGTTTAAAAATAAATATAAATATAAATTTTTATATAATTAAAAAATCTTTGAAATAAATTTAATTGATCTATATAATCATTATTTTTATTTTTAAGTATTTAAAAATTGTTTTTTTTTTATGATTTTGACTCTTAAAAAAATTAAATGTGTATAGAAAATACCAAAAAATTATCATTTAAATTCTTGAATATACAAAAAATATATTTTTGTCATAGGCAAATGTTTGATGAAAGTTCTAGATTGCTTTGATCAGGTTTAGACTGCAGTTTTTTAATGATCCCTAAAACAATATAAATGGGTTTAAATCTTAATGTTTTTGGACCAAAATTTTAAAATATGGTGCAAACTTATTCAGAAACTCAATTGTCACAAAACATTGCATGGAAGTATCAAATTTTGATAAAAATTTGAAGAAAATTAATGAAATTAAAAAATTCATGGTATTCATAATATTAAAAAAAAACCCAGGAAATTAATACTTAAATGTTTTTTTAAAAAAAATTTGTCCATTTGGGATCAATTTTGAATGTTTACCAAAATTTTAACTTATTTTGACCAAGTTTTGAACTCTGTTATACTGTCTTTGAATTCCCCCCAAAATAGAATATGTCCAAATCTTGGTGTCTTTGGACTATACTTCAAAACAAGTTTTTAGTCTGTTCAGAAGCTTAAATGTTACAAAACATTGAATGGAAGTATCAAATTTTGATAAAATTTAAAGAAATTAATTAAATAAAAAATTATAAGTATTTACAATGTGAAAAAAAA